TTATAAACAGAAATGAAATAGTGTACTTTGCAAGTAAATGGCTAGAAGTAGAAAAGATTGTATTGAGTGACAAATAACACATGTTCTCTCTTATTAGATGCTTCTAGCTCCAAATCTGCAGATGGGGGTACATAGCCTGGAGTAACTACAGAAACCAGGAAAATTAAATGGGACTGTTGCCAAGGTAGGTGGGACAGGGAGCAATAGAGAGGGGAAAGCATGGTGCAAGTGATCTGAGCAGGGAAATGGGAAAAGGACTTCTTTAAGAGAGGGAAGGAAGTAAATACAGAAGAAGGTGGGAAGAGGATAAACGGGAATAGCAGGATACAAGTGATCTAAGGGAAATGGGAAAGGAGATGCTGTGTAGGAAAGGGAGAAGGTGGTGAATACATGAGAAGTCAGAAGATGGGTAAAATACAATAAATGTATCTGAAAAGCCACAGGGAATCATACTACTATTTACCAAAAAAACCTATAATATATGTGACTGTGTATAAATATATATACACAGTTTTAATGAACTTCTCTTACCTTGTATGGTGGGGCTCCCTCCAGGAGCCAAAGACCACCTAACAAAAACCCCATACCAGACACAAAAAGCCCACTTTTGAGAGTGCACTGTTCAAGAGAATCCCAAAGCATACAGCCTATTATATCTTATAGGTAGAAGGTAAGTCCCTATTGCTAAAGACATCATGCACTTCAGACACAGGACCCAGAGACCCCTTGAGCAGGAATTGACCTGAATGCCCTATCTGGTACCTTCTGGTACCACACAACCTTCTAAAGAAGGGAAGCAACCAATAGTCCTACACAGCTATCACACCTATGAACCACATCAATAATCAGTATGGCACAATCACCCTAAGGGTGCAGCAGTGTCAAGCATACCTTGGTGTAGCCAACAGATTTCTAATTGGACTCAAGACCCACTCAGAAAAAGGCAAATCATGATTGGTACTAGAAAGCTAGCTAACTAGTCAGTGCTAGTGAAGTCTTGGATATTGGAGAAGAAACTATCATTGATTTAATAAATCACCATTATCCCTAACAACAATCTAAACATTTGTCCCCATATCCATAGATAAATGTAGTATTTATCCCTCATTAAGGAAATTTGTCTTTTCAATAGATGGAAACCACTACAAAAAACCCACAACCAATCAAAATTCAGAGTTATGGAGCCTAGTCCCAAAGGATGCATTCTGAGAGACTTTATCATTTATTACGGAAGTAACAATTAATATTCTAGGTATCAACCTACCAGAATTAACTTCTGATGGGGAAAATTGCCTAGCAAAGTCTGAAAGAAATTCAGACTCCAGAATATCTGTTGCTATGAATTTGGCTATATAATCTTGATATATAGAATATCTTCTGGGTGCTTTATATTCTCAAAAAGGCCCCAGAGAGAGTAAATTCCTTTTCACCAGCATCATCAGTGAGAGCAGTAGCCTCCAGATCTCATGCTACATAGTCTTAGTTTTCCCTTTGATCACTGAAAAGTCCCCTTTAATCAGTTAACAGCATGTTTTACAGGTCACATCTTCTCTCTGAGATATAAGGTGCCCTGATTTTGTCAAGAACTTATCTGCCTTCCTGGCCTTGAGAGATACCCATGCCTGCTTTCTTGCTATTGTCAGAGAATTGTTGATTGTGTCTATGGGTATATAAACTGGAAAACTTGTGGGATCTAAGAGAATTTTTAAGAAGAAATTTTTAAGAAGAATTTTTAAAGAGAACTTTAAGAGAAACTATAGAGGGATGGAGAGATGGCTCAGAGGTTAAGAGCATTGGCTGCTCTTCCAGAGGTCCTGAGTTCAATTCCCAGCAACCACATGGTGGTTCACAACCATCTGTAATGAAATCTGGTGCCATTTTCAGGACTGCAGGAACACATTCAGGCAGAACACGGTATACTTAATAAATAAATAAATAAATAAATATTTTTTAAAAAGAGAGAACCTATAGAGGGAGAAATTTTAGAGTGAACTTTTAGAGAGAACCTTTTAAAGGGACCTTTAGGGGGTGGAGAGACATCTTTTTTAAAGAATAAAGAGCCATGAGAGAAAAATGTGTATATGAACTGATTCATTGGCCTTCAGACCTTTTTCAGTCAGGCCCTACCTGCATGCTGCAAGCCTGAACACTGAATAGATGCATGCATCTATAATATGAGCCTCACTGGTAAGTTTCAGAGAATATTGCAGAATAGGAGAAAAGATTGTAAGAGCCTGAGGATCAGGGCATTTGCTATAGATTTTGTCCCTTAGTAATATTAGAAGGTACACCCATAAACTTCCAGCAACAGGACCTCCTAGACATGAGCTAAACAAAGATAATACCAGTAGACATGCCTTTGGATAAGGAAAAGCCCAAAAGGCCACAACCCTAAACAAAGAACTATGGGCAACTAAAGAATGCTTAGAGTACGAGAAATAGTCTTCCCCAGGGAAGAGCACACCAACTGATTATCCAATACCAAATGGTAAGTCCTGAAAACATACATGCAAGTAACATTATACAGACTAAACAGACTCAATAGGTTCTATTTAGGAACATGTGTGTGTGTGTGCACACATGTAATAATAGTGAATTTGACAGAGAGCAAGGAAGGCTATATGAGAGAATTTTAAGTACAGAATGGAAAAACATAAATGAAATTATATTAGAATCTCAAAATAAAAATTAAAAAATACATTTCTAGTATTTAATTTTAAAATCTTTGTGTAATTTTATAAAAGATATTTCTATCTCTAGTGTGGTTGTTGTGTGGTATACCATTTTTCATTTTCAACATAATTGTATCTTTGAAACTGAAGTTTATCTTATAAATGCAGTAGTTTTTCTTTTATAAAATTCTTCCAAGCTTTCACTCTTACCTAGATAATTTAATTGATTTTAATGTAATATATAACAAGTAGGATCTTTGGCAATTTGCCATTCTTCTTAGTGCTTCATTTCCTAGACTTTCTGTCGGTTGTGCTAGATATTCCGTATCTTGCCAATTTACTGACCCTGCCATTTCTAACAATATATACTTTGGTTTATTTTTCCTTAGCAGTTAGGCAGCTTCTTACAAGATTAAATTTATCATTGTTTTATTATTTCCATATGGCTCAAATTTCAGTCTTGGATTTTCCCAGGGAAAAAAGTTCTACTTACACATAATCCTGTGGATGAATTTTAGCAGTTTAGCACATATAAGCAAGAACTTGACATAATTTTTATATCTATTCAATGATTGAATTAGTAAACATTTATATGCCATGTGTTACTACACAATAAAAAGTTTTAAAACCCTCTGTCTTAGCCACTGTTCTATTGCTGTGAAGAGACAAATGACCAGGGCAACTCTTATAGAAGAAAGCATTTAATTGAGGGCTTGCTTACACTTTATCATTATGCAGGGAGCATGGAGGTACACAGGCAGACACAGTGATGGAGAAGTAACTGAAAAGTCTATACCCTGATCTCCCTGCAGGCAGCAGGGACAGAGATTGGACTTAGCATCAGATTTTTGAAAACCCAGTAACACACTTCCTCCAACAAGACACCTATCATAATCCTTCTACTCACATCAAAGAGTTCCACTCCTTAATGACTAAGCATTCAAATATATGAGCCTTTGGGGACCATTCTTATTCAAACCACCACACCCTGTTTTAGGATATATTAACTTAACAGAATCGTGATAGGATTGTGGCCATATCCTGGTTGTTATCTATGTTATAATATTCCAAAGTATTACTATTGAGGGAAAGTGAGAAAACTGCTTGTGATATCTCTCTATTATTTTTGATAATTTCACATGAACCTATTATTAGATAAAACAAAATTCCACTATGTAATCACTGAGTGTGATGGTTAGTGTTAGTGTCAATTTGACAGAATCTAACATCACCCAGGAGATGGGCATTGGGCATGTCGGTGGGAAAGTATTTTGACTGTGTTAATTGATGTGGGAAGAACCTTCTAAATTGTGGGTGAGACCATTCCCTGACAAAGGATCCTGGATTATATACAATGGAGAAAATGAGCTGAGCACTAGCATGCATCTTTCCTGATTGTGGATGTAATATGACTGGTTCCTTCAAGATCTGACATCACCACAATGAACTATAATCTGAACTATGAGCTAGAATAAACCCCCCTTAAATTGTTCTTGTAAGAATGTTTTTTAATCACAGCAACAGAAAGAGAAACTAAATGAGTTAACCAGGAATCTTGATCCTAGAAAAAATAAGTTTTGTGTTCACACAAATGCTGCATATTGATATCCATAGAAAACATTTACAATAATAAAAAATGAAAAATAATCCAGAAACCTTCAGTCTGTTAGTGGATAGAGAAACAGTGATACATCCATACCTTCTAGCATAGTGGTATGATTTAAGATAATTACTGGTACAGCATTAACTTAGATGAATAGTAAGGAAGTTATACTGAATTTAAAATGTCAATTACAAAAGATTACATGTCATATGATTCCTATAACATTCTCAAGATGATAATTCCTTTGATAAGAGGACATATTAATGCCTACTAAGGATTAATGACCAGGTTCTTGTGAGAAAGTAATAGATATGACTATAAAATGGTAGAATATATAACATGAGGAATGTTTATCATAATAGAACTATTACATCTCATGACTTTGGAGATGTATACACTAAACTATATGCATTGAAAACTGCATAACAAACATATACAATTGAGTACAAATAAAACATAAAAAGTATGAATGGTGGATGAGTTGTATCTATTTTAATATTGCTATTATGATGTTGTGCTATAGCTTTTCAAAATTTTTTAAATTTAGCAAAAATGTTGCACCAGTAACTCCTTTTCATGGTGTTTTTAAACAGTGTGACTTTTCAATTCTGTTGGAATAATTTTTCAACATGTAAGCCTCCTCCATGTAAAAAAAACTAATCCTCTTAAAAATTACAAACTTCGGTACAAAACAAGATCTAATTAACAAGAAACATATTTGCTTTTTAGTTTGTTTTTATTTTAATATTTTGAAAAGGACAAATAACATTTCAAATGAGGATATAAGTTTTTCCAGGGGAGTAAAGGTAACTATTCTCAATAAACATATGAGCTTCAATAATGCTCTTGGTGTCCAGCTTTCTCAGATTCAGTTTTCAGTAATGGTTGAGTTTCAACTGTAGGCTGTATCAGGTCCTTAAATGAAGACTGGCCTTGTGATGGTAGTGTACTGTATGGAATTTGGTATGGTGGGGTTTTAGCCTCAAGATCGTTAGACAAAGATGCATAGGTAGCCACTTTAGAAGTTGAGGGTGTACCTAAGTTGACCATTGGTACAATCTGGAATTTATCTGCATCAGACACAGGATGATTCTGAGATCTTACTGAATCAATAACTAGTTGATCTTGAACATTTGCTTTAGACTTAGAGGGAGAACTCCCAGGCTCGACTGTACCACTTGGTTTAGGAATCCTTCTACTTTCAAAAATAGAGAGATCCAAAGTTTTATTTGCTAGTAGGGAGTCTATGGGCAGACCTGTTTTGTTAACAGCTCCACTTGAAGTAAAAAATACCCAGGGTATCTCTTTTTCAGCTAAAGAAAAATTTGGTCCTATGTTGGTCTGAGTTGTGTGTTGATGCTGAGATTGATTTTGCATAGCTTTCAAAATGTTTGCATATTCATCGAAATGAGAAGCATTTCCTGACAAAGAATCATCAGTTGTACTAGCCTCATGGGAATGGACAGGCTCCGTTTCATCATCTACAGATGGACTCCATTGTTTAATTATGTCAGCCATGATTTTATCAAAAGATTGATCAGGATTATCCGATTGAAAACCCCAGGGTTTAGCTCCATCAGCCTTAGGAGAAGGATATGACATAACTGGTTCAGAAACAAGCTGAGATAATGGATATTTATATAAATTGCCTGCATTATGCGAAAGGGTAACTTGATGAATTAAATTCTGTCCAGAGTTTTCTGGAAGTCTAGCACCAGGCAATGACTTCATTTGCTCAGCTGGAAGCCTGACAGCTTTTGAGGTTTGGCTTTTGTCAAGGGACAATTTATGTACATTAGTAATAGAATTCACATTACTAAAATTAAAGAGTGTTAGATCTTTGACACGTTTGGTTTGTGGAGAAATGCCTGAGTTTTCTTGAAAAGACCTCAAGGAGATATTAGGAGAAGCCAGGGTTGGAATATAATTATGGCCATGTCTGATCTGGGGGACATGCTCATTTTCCTGCAATGTCCTACAGTGTAAGGAAGAAGTAGGATTTAGTAGCTTCTTAGATGCTTTGATGAATCGTTTCATCCAGGAAAAGTAAGGAGCTGTTCTAATGATGACTGTGGGATTTTGACATATCCTTGAAGTCTTGTGTGTGAGGCCTACCAGTTCCCAGTGGTTCTTTAGGAGACATAGAACAGGACTGGCTCTCTGTATCTGAATAAGAAAACCAAGAAATATTTGTCACTTATGAAGTCTACTATGCATACAGTTCATATGCTATGTGAGAAAGAGGGGAAAATTCAAAATAATATTCATTATCAAGCAGCTCCCAGAAGTTACCAATGTAAGACATGGGCATAAGCAGTTCAAGTATATGATAAAAGAATATAGCAAGTGTTGGTATTAATTAAAAATTTTCAGACTCCTACTTTATCAGCACTGAATTTGGATTTCTAAAAATTATGCCAAATAATGTTAAAACAAAAAATAACCAATAATCTTCATTCAAAATCTTCCCTTTGCTCTGTTTTCTAGTAAGTTACAACAGCCTTTCAAAACTTGAAGTTAAAAAATCTTGAAATTATTCCCAATGCCTCTCCTCACACCTATGTTACCAGTCCATCAACGAATAATGATTCTGATACTTTAATTTACAAATAAACTATTTTAATAATTAAATTTATTAATTTTCCTTTCTAGGTATGCTCCTATTCTTGATAAATAATATAGTGCCCTTATGAAAACACACACTCTTGTCCTTCTTACATCTAATTTTAATACAGCATTGCGAAACTTATCCTCTTAAAATCTAAGAAAAACCACACATCTTTCTGCTTAAAAATCCTTCGAAGTCTTAACAAGGTTAAAAAGGTTAGCTTTTATAATAGCTTATAAGACCTTTGAAACCCTTGTTACCACCTTGACATCACCTACTGTTGTTAGCTTGACTAGGATGCTATAGGCACCTGGCCTCTCCTTTCTGTTGCATATTTCCACATCACAATCTTTGTATCAGCTTTTCCTCTACCATATACTTGTGACACTGCTCTGCTACCCAAAAGACTTCCTTCATCACTTCTTCCTCAACTCCATTCAAATACTTTTATTACTTTTTAAAAAATGTCTCTCCTGATTACCTAATCACATTGGACAGGATTATATAAACAAAAATTCTTCTATCTTGTGCTGCAAGTATTTTAGGCTAATACTGTCTTTACACTCCAGTTGTTTCAGACTGCATACATATTGAAACCAGATTGCAAGGTTATAATAAGCCCTGTTTTATGTTCATTGTTCTGGTTATTTTACTCAAAATATTTAAATAGCACTTGTATTATTTACTTATTCTTGATCATCTTTCAAAAATATATGAATTCATGAGAACATAAACCTCCCTATCCTCACTGCCATTGCCCTAGTTCAGATAAGGTTATTATCTAAGTATGAAGGGTGCATAAATACTCTATCTCATAAACTGTTATTTTGCATTTCTTCAACAAGTTTCCCTTTTAGGGCATTTTTCACACCCACCCACTATGAGTAAACTTCAGAATATAAACCTTGTCATGCCATTTCTCTTGTCAAAATATTTGGGTGCCCCCATTCTCTAATGTTAATTAAGTAATAACACAATCATAATCTGCCCCATGATTATTTGTATCTCACTTCTCTCTTCCCTCATATTCTACTTCTCCCTACACACAAACCCAGGTACTATTTACATTTTCCAGACTTGTCTTATTCTGCTCCCTATGACTTGAATGCCGTCACTTTCTTTTATACTTACCCTATTTGGTAAATAGCTACTTGTCTTTAAATAGTAGCTGAAATATTAACTTCAACACACTTTAAATTAATCTTCCTTTTACTCTCAGGGCTAGTTTCATACTGTGAAGATATCTATTGACCTTCTGGATGGATGATTTTTCTAGCGCCTCCATTCTACTGTAAGCCCTCTGACATTTGTGAGTACTCTAGGTCCTTTATCTCTCCTATCAGACTGACATTCTAAAGACTGGTCTCAGTTGTTTCTTTCCTATATCACAAAATAAACAACAGTCACTTAAATGCTTACTTGAATTTCTTTTGCAGCCCTGTGTACTGGTATTCACCTTATCCCTTGTCATTATCCACTATGAAACCTATCTACTGACTCTATAACTTTTTGTGTCTTATTGCCTCATCTCAATTTGAAACAGTTTTGAACAATGTTCCATCTGTTCTTGCTTAAGTAAGTTACTTCTCATCTCTCAAGACTTAGCATTCAAGGCTGGTCATACCTTTCAATAGCTCAGTTCAAATCTCCACAGTTCAAGCTAACACTTCCCTTAAAGTCTATTCACCAGTATTTGTGTATGTGATTTCAAGTTGTCCAAGATATGTGCGTACCTAAACGTATCCCTGCATGGGCCTTTATTTTCTGAAGCTTTTCTACATGAATAGGTGGACATCTAAGTTTGAGCCATACTGTGTTCATTATGGTACCTACTAAGAAAGTATAATAAAAATTAGAAAGAGCCGGGTGGTGGTGGCGCACGCCTTTAATCCCAGCACTCCGGAGGCAGAGGCAGGCAGATCTCTGTGAGTTCCAGGCCAGGCTGGACCGACAGCCTCCAAAACAATACAGAGAAACCCTATCTCGTAAAAACCAAAAAAATTAGAAAGATAAAATGTATTTGTGTGTCTATTGGTTCATTTTTTCATATTTCTCATGTGTATCAAAAGCCTTCCCTGTGGTAGACTCTATGTCTTTCAAATATCCAATGGAACTTTCCAAATTCAAATATTTGCCTGGTGCCAACTTTCTTATGTCCTGTTATCTGACATTTACTTTCATATAGAATTCTACATTTTTCATTTCCTTCCTGTTCTAAGTACTGCTTTTGTAGATGATTACCCAGCAGTCTTCCCGTGGTTGACTCTGAATACACAAGCCCTCAATCTTCTCCAGATAGGAATGCTGATGGTGGCATGTTGAGAAGTCTAGCAGCTGCACAGCTATCTTCTTTACTCGTGTGGTTCCAAGCTTCTTGCTACCTAAAGGTATGCACATAAGGGATGATTCTGAGACCCAAAGCACCCAGTCTCTGACTTTGGTTTGTCACCACTCTCAATTCAGTCACTTAATCTTCCCAAGACATTCTCCTTTCCCATCCTCCCCCCACTTGCCCCTTTCTTTTGTCTCTTCTCTTTAGACATCTCCTTACCTTGGGGTTTTTGAACCATTCACACCTTCCTTAACCAGTTGTGATGGTTAGTCCTGATTATCAACTTGATTGGATTAAGAAACAACCTTGTATTGCAGGGTGTGATGGCACACACCTTTAATTTTAGCACTCAGGAGGCACAGGCAAGCAGATCTCTGTGAGTTAGAGGTCAGGCCTTGTCTCCAAAATGAGTTCCAAGACAGCCAGGACTGTCTCAAAAAAAAAAACGACAAAAGAAACACCTTGAAGTACCTAACATTTTCAAGCATCTAGCACATGACAACTCTTAACAAAAGAATGAAATAATCACTTGAATATGATAGCAGTGTTGAGATATGGTTAAAGGTATGAAGTGCACCCTAGTTGGAGAGGTAGTTAACTGGGGACATGTCTTTGCCCCTTCCTGGACTCTTCTCGTCTGTCTACTTCCTGACCACCAAGAAATGAAGAACACCTTCCACCACATGCTCCAATTGCTACAGTGTTTTGCCCAGTACACAGAGACAATCAGCCATATGGAACTTTCTGAAACCATAAGTCAAAATAAATCGATCCCGTCTCAAATAATCTCTTAGATTTTTCATCATAGCAACAAGTAGTTAAAATACCTGAGTACAGAAAGAGTTCTGTAACAAGAATTGAGAATTAAACATAGGCATATCCCATTCCTTCCTTATGCTTCAGTTTATCTCCCAATGGACTGAGGTAATATGGACTTAAGGGTCTCCACTATTTCCTCTAGATTATTCTTCCCACTTCAGAGACTTAATTTCTTTAGAAAATGAATCATATGACCAGAGCCAAAATTACAAAATGTATAACCTGACTCCCTTTACTTACTCTGATATTCATACACTTCACAACTTCTGTATTGGCACTTAGAACAGCTTTTTAAGGATATATTAGGGGACTGAGATATTGGTATCTCATCCCCATAGAGAGGCTCTTCAAGGATGACCAGGCCAATATCTGCTTTCAATGGATCGTTTTCATCTTGAGGATCAAACTTTGGATGGAGGCAAATTTTTTGACCGTGTGGAATGCTTTCTGGGTCATTTACTCCTGAAATGTCCAGGTGTGAGAGTTTCCTAGGAGAAAAGATGAAGAGAATGATTGCAATAATCTAATTGATGACCATAAAGAATTACCCATAAAATGTCTTATGAAAGGCATTGTTTGGCAGTATACATCAAATTCAAAGCTATAAAACAACCCAGTTTTTCTTTTATATGACATTATCTTTATTCCAAGCCACACTATGGCTATATAAGGCCTTATACTGGCCTTTTGTTTCTTTACATTTCTACAGTTCTACTAACAATTATCTGATTCTCAAAAAGTTGTTCTGTATGCTTGGATCTTAGTGAATCCCATAAATTGAGAAGAGAAGGACTGCCTACTCAAACTCCATTTAACATTCTCAAGATTTAACATTCTCCAAGTTGAAAAATAAGCCCAGACTCTCCACCTGGGATCCCAAGTGTCCACGAGAGTCTGGGATTCAGGTAGGCAGTTTCCACACTCCTTTCTGTCCTCCACTACAATCTCTCCAGTCTCATCCCCATCCCTGTAGCAGCATGCTTGCAGAGGTCTGTTCTCCTACTCTCCCTCCATTCCCTGTGGCCTCCACCAAACCTAGGTAAGAACAAAGGTTTCCTCCTTTCAATGATCTCTCTATCCTCTCCACTCCCTCTATCCATCTCAATTCCCTTATGTTAACCATTGATACCTTAAAATGCTTTCTACCCAGGACTCCCAGTGGCCAAACCTGGCAGAGACTCAGATAAGTTATTCACACTAACTTTCCTGTCCTCTGTTATGGTCTCTCCATTCTCACCTTGAGCCTGGTAACAACTTGCTTACAGGTGCCTCATTTCCCTCCTCAACTCTGTTCACTGGAGAGTTCAACTCCTGATTCGGACCAAAAGTTCCTTAGCCCATTCATTGCTGTCTCCCCAAATTATTCTTTGTCTTACTGCACCTTACTTGCAAAATGGCTCTTTCCTACCACATCTGCAATTTGCAAGGATCTTGCCTCTCAGTGTAGACAGGATCCTCTTATCTCTTTCCTGAAGGCCCTCTAAGCCTTTCCTGTAAGCCCACCTCTACTCCTTTCTGCCACCAACTGACATGAAAAAGCACTCTCTACCATGGAACCCACAGCCACCATGCTTCCCTAAGATCCAAAGAGGACAACAGAAACCAAGGAATGGAATACCTACCCAACAAAGACAAGACCAGATATCAACACATAGAATTACTTCAGCCATCCTACCAGATGGCCAGACACCAGCACAAAGTACAAACATTAGCAGTCAAGAGAATATACCTCTACCAGAACACAGGACAATATGCCTCCATCAGAACGCAGTAACACTATTACAATAGGCTCTGAGAAGTGCAATATAGCTGAAGCACATGAAAAGGACTCCAAAATAGCAATTATGAATATATTCAAGGACCTTAAAGAATATGTGAATAAAATCCTTAGTGAAGTCTGTGAAAACACAAACACTAGACCAAATAGTGAAAATAGTTCAAGACATGAAAGTAGAAATAGAGTCACTAAAGAAAATCCAAACTAAGATAAAACTGTGTTGTGGGAAATCTTTTTGTACACTGTGAAGATGTGTCACTCTGAATGGCCAATAACTAGGCAGAATTTCCTAGTGCAAAGGATGCTGTGAAGAAGAAGGTCGGAGATGAGAAGACATAGAGTAAGCAGCATGGGCAATACAGAGTAAAGTTAATTATGCCACATAAAAGAATATAGATTAGAAGATATGGATTAATTTAAGAAGTTATAAGAGCTAGATAGAGTTGGGTGGTGGTGGTGCACACCTTTAATCCTAGCACTCAGGAGACAGAGGCAGGTGGATCTCTATAAGTTTGAGGCCAGCCTGGTCTACTGACTGGGTTTCAAGACAGCCTCCAAAGCTATGGAGAAACTCTGTCTTGAAAAACCAGAGAGAGAGAGAGAGAGAGAGAGAGAGAGAGAGAGAGAGAGAGAGAGAGAGAGAGAGAGAGAGAGAGAGAGAGAGAGGGAGAGCTAGAAACAAGGCTAAGCTATGGGCTGAGCTTTCAAATTATTAATGGATCTCCATGTCATTATTGGGGATCGACAGACCTGACAAAAAAAGTCCAACTACAAATAGTGTACAACGTGGAAACACACATTTCCACATAACACCTGCTCTGAGAAAGCTTTTTAAAAGGTTCCAAACACACAAAAGTTAAACCAAATGTGGCTTCCTAATCCCACAGCCTTTCATGCAGACCATGGTATAGTGATACATATCCCAGATACTGCCTGTAGGCTTGAGCCACCAATGTGCCATGGGCTATGTTGTGTGGCGGCTTAAGGTTTTTCTTATGCAGATAGAAAAGATTACAGATACACAGTAAATCAGGTTAAGATGGGAAAAAACTCTAAAAAGTTTACTGTGTGTTTAATGATGTGTATAGGCTTAAGAAAAAGAGGAAAAGGGTATAAGCAGCCATAAAAAATGGTTTAAAATAATAAAGTTTAAAGAATGAGCCGGGTGGTGGTGGCGCACGCCTTTAATCCCAGCACTTGGGGGGCAGAGGCAGGCGGATCTCTGTGAGTTCGCGGCCAGGCTGGACCGACAGCTTCCAAAACAATACAGAGAAACCCTGTCTCATAAAAACAATAACAAAAAAGAATGAAGTAAAGTAATAAAAAATAAGCCATGTAAGGATTGGAAATATTATAGTGCAGGGATTTGGACTTTATATGGCACTTTGCTAATTTTGAATTTTTTGAATGCAAATGAACAGACAAGAGCTGCTGAGAGACATTAGATTGTGGGACTGCTGAATTAAACCAACCTATATACTTTAGGAAGGAATTAACTTTAAAATGGAAGTCAAAAAATGTATTACATTGGGAAAGCGTTGTAGAATATCATTTTAAGATGTGTTATATTTGTTTATGCTTTGGAACATTTGTTTTAATGATGCGAAGATATGTTGCATTCTTTTATGTTGCATTTGTTTAACTATGTGAGGCTGTGTTACTTTGCCTCTCTAAAATACCTGAATGGTCTAATAAAGAACTGAACAGCCAATAGCTAGGCAGGAGAAAGGGTAGGTGGGGCTGGCAGGCAAAGAAAATAAATAGGAGAGATCTGGGAGAAAACGAAGAGAAGGAGAGGAGGGCTCCATGGGACAGCCACCCAGCTACACAGCAAGCCATGAAGAAAGAAAGAAAGAAAGAAGTTCAGAAACAGAAAAATGTAAAAGTCCAGAGGCAAAAGATAGATGGGATAATTTAAGTTTTAAGAAAACTGGTTAGAATTCATACAACAAGGACATCTGTTCCACTATGTTCATAGAAGCACTATTTGTAATAGCCAAAACCTGGGAGCAACCTAGATGCCCCTCAACTGAAGAGTGGATAGAGAAAATGTGTACATTAACACAATGGAGTACTGTTCAGTAGAAAAAAAATGATGGAATCCTGAAATGTGCTGGCAAATGGATGGCACTAGAAGAAACCATCCTGAGTGAGGTTACCCAGTCACAAAAAGAGAAACATGGCATGTACTCTCTCATATATGGGATTTTAGACATAGATCTGGGGAGTGCCAGCCTACAATCCCATGGCCAGAGAGTCTGGGGAACAGAACCTTCATTCAGTGGCTGATGGAAGAAGAGGCAGACACCAAAAGCTAAGCACTAATCTGAACTCAAGGAACCCAGTGACAGAGAGGGAGGACTGATGAGCAAAGGGGTTAAGACTGGGCTGCTTTAACCCCTATAAACAGCTGACCTGACAAGGGTTAGCTCTTAAATCCTGGACTTAATGGCTGGGAATCCAGCATGGGACTGATGAAGACCCCCTGAATGTGGGTGTCAGTGAGGAGGCCTAGGCAATCTATGGGGCCTTGGGTAGTAGATCAGTATTTATCCCTGACATACAAATGGACTTTGGGTGCCCACCCAACAATGAGAGATGCACTCTCACCCTGGACACTTGGAGAAGGGTCGAGGCCGTGCCCTGGATGAAATGACAGACTATGGACACACCCATGGAGGGCCTCACCTTCCCTGGGGAAATGAGGGGGTATTGGAGGGTTGGTGGGAGGGCGTGGGAGGAGGGGAAGGAAAGGGAGAGAGACCTAGGATTGGCATGTGAAGCAACCTTGTTTCTAATTTAAATTTAAAAATAAAACGAGGAAAAAATGATTTAAAACCAAAAAAAAACTGGTTAGAAACAAGCCATACTAAGGTCAGGCATTTATAAGTAATAGTAAGTATCCATGTGTATTTATTTGGGAGCTGGGGGCAGTCCCCCCAAAAAAGAGTAATAAGAGCAAAAGAATATAAAAAACAACAGGGAAGAGGTTATCATAATCAGATTTGCTTAGGGGAGCCCTCCTGGGTATCTTGGCTATAGACATGGGGGATGAATCCAAGAAAGGTTACAGGAAAGGTGACATGTAGGCTGATCCCTCTGCATGGGAACAGCTTGGAGAGGAGATGAGGAGAGATGACTACAGAGTACTCATAACATTATTATATGCCATCTTTTCATATGGTATGAATGGAGATTTATATTACAGTTTGGTTATGTGGTCCAAACAGACTTATAAAGTTGACAGATGCCTTTTACCTGCTCAAAACTGGAACAAAAAATCATCTTTAACTGACTTGTGCTAATGTAGATATATATGTTACCTTTAAAAGTTTGTGTGTTTTCAGAGCAAGTGGACCAGACACCAGTGAAAACAGGTGGCCCAGGTGATCCAATCTCTCAGAATGCCTCTGTTGCTGTTTCCTCAGAGTTCTAAATCCAGAATAACTTCAAGGCTGCTGGCTGAGATGATCTAGCCTCACAGACTATCCCAGGCATGACTTCAAATAAATCTTGCACTTTCCCATCACACAGGGACTGGACAACAGCTAGTTCCTCCAGGACTTGACCATTGTCTTAATTTTTCCTGGTCTCCTAAAGAAGCCATTGCCCACAGACAACAGGAAGCAATCTATAGAACAGACATCCACATTCCCAAAAGGTGGAGTGGGTGGTTTTTTGTAATTTGTGGGGTTATGGATGTTTGTTATT